GTTTGAGCGTACGATCGTTTTTATTTAGCACCATATAGAGTGAGCTTGAGTCATCCCATAACCATCACCAGTCGAGACAGTCTTTGAATTTCTCTCCCGGCCTAGCAAATATCCTGTTGTTTTACGGTTATGGGCGGTCGTTTAATAAAAGCTCGACGGCCGACAAACTCCATGGAAAGGAAAAAATCTCGCATATAGTCCGCGCAGTGCGGACCGAACGCTTTACGATGTCACATACCGTGTGACGGCATATTGCCATGGATATGACTTGAGCCCGGTCGTACAAGAGTACCATCAAGAAGTCGAGAGAGATTTTATGCCAACCTTGCACATTTTAAAAATATTTCTCTCAAAATTCACTTCTTTTAAATTTAATCGCAAAAAGGTATAAAATGTTTTAATTCAACTTGTAATTCCATTTGGTTTATGTCCAAGACACACCTCAATTGGGGTGTTTAAAAAAAATCTTATCTATATCGAGTCAAGACAAGAAAGATTTAAGAGATAATTCGAACCCTGCGATTGAATAAATAGATTTCTTAGATAACGGGTAAGTTAACGCTTATAGATCGGCGTCCGTTATTGTGTAAAAGTCAGCTTATGTCCCCTTTAACGCTTTATTACCCCGAAGAACAAGTTATCAAGTACGGCACTACTCGCAATTACGTGCAATAAAATGTAGTAAAAAATATTAATAGACGTTTTATAGGTGTTGTAAACAAACTCGGCGACGTGACACAGCGTGCGACTTTCTAATGCACAGTTCTGCGCAACACCATTTCAAATTAATTCGTAAATTAAAAAAAAAATTTTAAAATAAAAAATTAACCGGAACAGATTTTTTAAAATACAGTAAAACTTCGACAAAACGGAAGTCAGATATAACCCGAATGTTTCTAGTACTAGGTCTAGGGTTAGTTCTAATGCTAGTGTTGGTTCTAGTTTGCAGCGTTAGGTTGTTGTATATTTTCCATTAAACTAGAACTAACACTAGACCTAGAACTAGAAACATTCCGATTTAGCCCGAAACTTTCTACTTCTAGGTCTAGTGTTAGTTCTAGTTTTAATTGTTATGCAGCGTTGGATTGTTGTATAATTTTATTGAACTAAATATGGAACCAACAGCAGAGCTAGAACTACAAAGATTCGGGTTTAGACGTCGTAAGAAAAGCACAGCTAAACCTGACTGCTTCTAGTTCTAGTTCTACTGGTCTAGTTTTAGTTGATATTCAGCGTTAGGTTGTTGTATACTTCTATTGAATAGTGATGGAACGGATAGTGATTTTGCGAAAAGCCGGATACCTGATATTTGGCAAAAAGAGGATACTTTTAATAATTGGTGATATTTCCACAAGGATTCTTCAAGAAATGAATTTTATGGTGAACTTTGAAAATTATCGATGAAAATTGCAACATCCAAAATTTTATCAAAACTTCAAATATTGTTTTATCAAAAACTAAAAGTTATTTTTCAAAACGTGTTGGTTCATTAAAAAGAGGACACTCTTATTAACACTTTGGGAAATTTTCAAACTCATATTCCAAGAAATGGATTTTATACGAATTTTTAAATCTTTATCTTCGAAAATTGCAAAAATCGAAAAAATTGTCGATCATTTCAAAAATTTATTTTTCTAAAACTAAAAGCGATTTCTCAAAAAGGCTTGTTGCATTAAAATGAGGATACTTTAATTAATAATTGGTGATATTTCCACAAGGTTCCTTCAAGAAATGAATTTTATAGCGAATTTTGAAAATTATCGATGAAAATTGCAACATCGAAATTTTATCAAAACTTCAAATATTGTTTTCTCAAAAACTAAAAGTTATTTTTNGCGACTTTCTAATGCACAGTTCTGCGCAACACCATTTCAAATTAATTCGTAAATTAAAAAAAAAATTTAAAATAAAAAATTAACCGGAACAGATTTTTTAAAATACAGTAAAACTTTGATAGAACGGAAGTCAGATATAACCCGAATGTTTCTAGTTCTAAGTCTAGTGTTAGTTCTTATGCTAGTGTTAGTTCTAGTTTAGTTGTTATACAGCGTTAGATTGTTGTATATTTTCCATTACTTAAAGAAGACGCACGGCTAAACCCGAACTTTCTAGTTCTAGGTCTAGTGTTAGTTCTAGTTTGAATTGTTATGCAGCGTTGGATTGATATATAATTTTATTGAACTAAATGTGGAACTAACACTAGAGCTAAAACTACAAACATTCGGGTTTAGACGTCTTAAGAAACGCACAGCTAAACCCTACTGCTTCTAGCTCTAGATCTACTGTTAGGTCTAGTTTTAGTTGATGTTCAGCGTTAGGTTGTTGTATATTTCTATTGAATAGTGATGGAACGGATAGTGATTGGTTATAATTTCTATTGCATTTCTGAAGTGATACCCTATTGTCACAATATTGCGATATTTGAATAAAGATACAAAATGAACTTTTTTGAGGATACTTTAATTAATAATTGGTGATATTTCCACAAAGATCCTTCAAGAAATGAGTTTTATAGCGAATTTTGAAAGTTATCGATGTAAATTGCAACATCGCAAATTTTATCAAAACTTCAAATATTGTTTTCTCAAAAACTGTTGGTTCATTGAAAAGAGGATACTTTTATTAACACTTTGGGACATTTTCATACTCATATTCCAAGAAATGGATTTTAAACTAATTTTAAAAAGAGGATACTTTAATCAATAATTGGTGATATTTCCACAAGGATCCTTCAAGAAATGAATTTTATAGCGAATTTTGAAAATATCGATGAAAATTGCAACATGAAAATTTTATCAAAACTTCAAATATTGTTGTCACAAAAACTAAAAATTATTTTTCAAAACGTGTTGGCTCATTGAAAAGAGGACACTCTAATTAACACTTTGGGAAATTTTCATGCTCATATTCCAAGAAATGGATTTTATACCAATTTTTAAAACTTAATCGGCAAAAATTGCAAAATTCGAAAAAATTGTCGATTATTCCAAAAATTTATTTTACAAGAACTATAAGTAATTTTTCAAAACGGCTTTTTGGATTAAAAAGAGGATACTTTAATTAATAATTGGTGATATTTCCACAAAGATGCTTCAAGAAATGAATTTTATAGGGAATTTTGAAAATTATCGATGAAAATTGCAACATCGAAAATTTTATCAAAACTTTAAATATTATTTTCTTAAAAACTAAAAGTTATTTTTCAAAACCTGTTGGTTCGTTGAAAAGAGGACACTTTTATTAACACTTTGTGAAATTTTCATACTCATATTCCAAGAAATGGATTTTATACTAATTTTTAAAACTTAATCGGCGAAAACTGCAAAATTCGAAAAAATTGTCGATCATTTCAAAAATTTATTTCTCAAGAACTGAAAGTGATTTTTCAAAATGGCTTGTTGCATTAAAAAGAGGATACTTTAGTTAATAATTGGTGATATTTCCTCAAGGATCCTTCAAGAAATGAATTTTATAGCGAATTTTGAAAATTATCAATGAAAATTGCAACATCGCAAATTTTATCAAAACTTCAAATATTGTTTTCTCAAAAACTAAACGTTATTTTTCAAAACGTAATGGTTCATTGGAAAGAGGATACTCTTATTAACACTTTGGGAAACTTTCATACTCATATTCCAAGAAATGGATTTTATACGATTTTTTAAATCTTAATCGGCGAAAATTGTAAAATTCGATTAAATTGTGGATCATTTCAAAAATTTATTTCTCAAGAACTAAAAGCGATTTTTCAAAGCGGCTTGTTGCATTAAAAAGAGGATACTTTAATTAATAATCGAAAGTGATAACAGCGATAGTTCTGTTAGTAATGAATGTAATGATGAATTACAAGCGAAGAGAAGAAAACTAGACAGAACTGCTACAAGAGATTTTATATACCGTATTTGGATTATTACAATGAGGTTGCTAATGACAAAGCTGATATAAATAAAGTTGTATTCAATAAAAAAAGTCCTGTTGGGGTTGAACTTGATTATTATCTGCAGTGTCCAACACCTAAAACAGATATTAATTCCTGTGAATGGTGGAGTACTAAATAATAGGTTCTTAATATTCGTCGGATTTAAAAAAATGGCCGGATAGGTGAGATACCGGATAGTTGCCGGATATCCGATCCATCACTACTATTGAACTAGCACTAGACCTAGAACTAGAATCATTCGGGTTTAGCCGTTCGTCTCTTAAGACGGCTAAACCCGAATGTTTCTAGTTCTAGGTCTAGTGTTAGTTCTAATGCTAGTGTTAGTTTTAGTTATTATTCAGCGTTTGATTGTTGTATATTTTTATTGAACTAAAACTAGAACTAACTAATACAGAACGTAACGATGTGGATAGCTGTTCGAATTTGTGTTTAATGCACACAAATTCGAACAGCTTAATCACAGCTTAATTATTCACTCACACAGTTTAAAGTGCAAATGAAAAATGTTTCATATACCACATTAATCCGTTATATCGAGGTTTTACTGTATTAATAAAAATAAATTATTTCATCAATTCACAAGATGAAAGTGTAAAATAAATGTAGTTGATTAGTTCTTTAAAAATGACTACAACTTGTAGTAGGTATACTTACCTTCTCTAGTGCTTTTACCTCGACGGTACAAAATTAATGGTTCGCATATTTTGAAAAACGACCGAACGTGTTGGAGGACTAAATACTAAATCACTATCGGCCATTACTTTCATCGGGAAATATTCGAAAAATCCGGGCCATTGAAAGGTATATTAATGGAACATTTGCATACACGCTCTTCGTCTGCCATCTAAATATACACAACGAGACAGCGTCGTTGCATTGTAGAGTGCCGGCCAATGCACGGGACCGTGTTCACTGACAATCATGTGCTTTTCAGCCCTAATGTGTATTAATGACTTGTTATCGTTTGCCGTTTCAGAATAAAAAAAAGAACCGTAATACTGACTCACTAAATATAGGGACAAACGACAAAAGGAAAGGGAAAGCGAAAATAAAACGAAAATTTCATTTTTTTTCATTTATAGTCTCTGTTAATGATTTAATTAAGACAATGATAATTATAATAATATCCTTCTATACACACAGAACTATTTACAAACAGATAAAGTTAATAATGTACAATTTATCTGGTCTGGGACCAGGCAACTAAAAACTGTTAGTTCAATAATAATAAATTTTAAAAGGTGTTTATTAAAACAAGAATTTAAGCAAACTGTAAATTTCATTTTATAAAGAAAGTCTCAAAGCTTATAGCTTATAGAAATAGCAATACAGAAATTCAATTTTGCTTAAACATTTTTATTTTAATACACACCGAATATAATAATAATACAAATCCATGATATGATCTCTTTATACACAACAATTTTCTAATAATAATTAATTAATTAATAATAAAATAACAACAATGTGTCGGTAAAGGTTTTTTCGTATCGTCTTAGTGAATCACGTATCATTTTTTTTATTACTTTGTAGCGGAATATCTACTTCGATATTATTGATGTGTTTTTCTTGTTGTATCTTATTTTGTCCTGTTTCTATTTATAGGTGCGAAATTTTCCTATATTTTTTTTAATTCACTTCATACTAAGACACGGACGAAATCGGAGGGGATCAAACGACATGGGTGATGGAGCAATCGTTGACTGAAAACTACGGTTAAACAACACTGCTCAAAGTCCTGCAAATATTCCCAAAACGGTCTTCGTACTGTTCGTTTTCATATTTAATTTTTTTTTTGTGTGCGGACAACAATTTTTTCGTTCATTATCACAGATACAAATAAATGCATTTACACGAAATATACAAAAAACTGATTGCACTCGATGTTTTCACGTGAAATGTACATTACTATTTTTTTAACACACCCAAACACTCTTGTACCCAGCGGTCTTTGTATACATAAATAAACATCTTCCATTTTCTTCGTTCACGTTGCACTTTGCCCTTCTTGCGAACCTCGTAGCTCTAGCTGCTGGACAACATCTCTTTGCGCCTCAAAGGTAACTCTGCAACGGAAAAGAGACAAGACAGTTAGTAAAAGTCCGTGATTAATGACGGTACGTAAAATAAGCAATCTTTTATCAACGACGAGTGGGTCTTTGAGTCTGTGTGTGTGGTTTGGAGAGAGCGGAGCTTAAGCCTCCGTAGGGAGCCCATTGTTTCGAATCAATATCCAGCTCACACCGCACCCTTTCCATTTCGAGGTACGCCTCACCGTTATTAAGTTGCCGACCCCTACGCAACCAAGTGAATCCCGACTGCTTTTCCCCCTACGTAGGGAGTTAACAGCTTGACAATTACTTTCAGGATAAAATCTCTCACTCCATCTCAAAAGAGTCAACATAAACATTAATAAAGTAGCATTAATAAAACATTAAATAAATAAAATTTATAATCAAAGAACTTTGCTAAATTGAGTATGACGTGAAAAGATTTTTATTCAATGTTTGAAAGAGAAAATCTGGTTGTGGGTCGGTAGAGAAGAGAAAGGGGAAGACGGAGTGGTGACTGCGAAGACCACAACCGCTTCAGATCGGGTCTACGTGGCGGTCTCGGTCCATTCAGCGATCTGAACGGACCGTCATTTGTCAACGTCAGCAAGGTGGCGATAGCGGGCATTCCTCATTCAGCGTAATTTAGCGTGGGCACCTCAACTTACCTCAGCTTGGCGGATGGTCCAGCATGGAACGGCTCAGACCGGCGACACGAAACCCCCGTTCATGCTTTGAGGGCTGTAACAAACGAAAAAATCGAGATAAGCCCAAACGAAAAGCTACAACAAGAAAAAACAAATAAAATAAAAGGATTTAAAAAAAGGATCTAAAAAAGGATTTAAAAAAGGCATTTAAAAAAAAGGGTTAAAAAGGTAAAAGGTGAGAGAAAAAGAAGGAAAGAGAGGGAAAGGGATACGAAGGCTACGACGACTAACGAGAGATCTTGTACGTGTATCTTTTTCATTCATTCATAGTGGCCGCGAAGGCTCCAGCACCTGATTCATTATGTGTTTGACCGGACCGGCCGCGGTCGAGATGGTTTTATTAGTTCTTTTGCCTGCGCCAGCCCCACAGGATCGTGAGTTGTGGCTTTTGGCGCCCGCCTTTATTCGATTGTAATCGGTCCGTTTGGTTTTATTGGCGCCAGAGAGGCTAAGTGGGCGATTCAAGAAAGATTTAAGGAACACACATAAAGGTGTTCATTAAAATGATAATAAAAAAGAAACTTTCAGATCTGGATTATATTACTTCTATTATCACATCATAACTTTTTTTATTCATGTCTTTACCTTTTATAAAATGGTTTAAAGGCAGCATTCTCCGTACTGTTTGGGTTCATTTGGTTCGACTGGGGTAGTTGAGGTCTTTGAGGAGATTGTATCCTATTAAAACCACCCAGAAAACCCGATTGCGCATAGCCGCCATTGCCTGTAGACGCCCCACCTATGCAGGACCCCTGCCCCGGCAGGAGGTTACCAGTAACGCTTGGTAACTTCATGTTGGGCGGCGTCTGGGGCGGCGTGTCCGTCTGTACTTCCGGGAAACCCTGCTGGCAATGGCCGGGAAGGAAATTACCGCCGCCGCCGTACCTCGAGTTCGGCAACGCAAATCCATTACCGCCTCCCATCCATTGGTGTTGTTGTTGCGAAGACGGTGGCGGCGGCGGCGTTTTGCATGCTGCCGTATCCGCCAAAGACCATATCTTCGGCTTCGACGGCGGTAAAGGTACACCACAATCCGATGACTTCAGCTCGGGTTTCATGCCAAAACTGTTGCCGAGAATGTGGTGCATGTGGTTACCCAGCAGGTCGTCTTTACGATCCTCATCGCCCATGTCATCGTCGTCTAATTCTTTTCCACTCCTCTCCGATTTTATCCGTCCGTGTATGTCTATAAAAGAAAAATACAGAAAATTAACATCTAGAATACACCATACTTAAATGATTTTTAAATGATTGTTAAGGTGTTAATTATTAAACTAAGGAGTGGTGTGGTTTTAGAAAGAATACAGAAAAAACTATATCCGGTTTATTCTTAATTATGACCACGAATGTTTAACCTTGATTCATATTCAGTAGTTAACCACAAATGGCATTTCGTCTTTGAATTGATTTATGTTAATCATTAAGAGCACAAGTCGAAAAAAAGGAGATGCGGACACATGATATTTCACAAACTATCAGGGAGATGTTTCAAGTGGGTGTTCTCTCTAATTGAAATCTCCTCCTCCGGCTCTTCGTGACGTTTAAAGCTATGGGGGTGGCGGCGGGGCAGCTGTAAGTGGTATCTCCGATTTCGGGGTCCACGGACATTAACTGCTGATCCGATTAGTGGAGAAACGGATCCCGCCCAAGAGAGGGGAAAGTGAGCGTCGACGAAGAGCGGGAATTAATGCGGCCCGACACTTTTCCGAGTGCGATTTAATTGTATAATACCCCAACCTTTCAAACCCCCGCACTTGCGCCCCTTTGCTCATTTAACAGTCGAACGGGATCCCTTCTCGGTTTTAATGGTAAGTGATAGGCGACTCTCGAATCTCTTTTCGTAATCTCCTTCGACGGAAACGGTAAAAAGCCAATGCTCCCATTAGATATACTTTATAATTTGTTCCGTGAACTATATATTTATACTAATAAGTGGTACCATCGCAGTTATTTTCTTGTGCATGTAATAACTAGTCGTAACCACTAATGGTTTTTAATAGCGAGCAAAAAGCTTTTGGAATGTCGATAGAAATGAAAGGAAAGTGGAAATTCGCTGTGAAATTACAGACATAACCTTCACATTTAATGATAAAATTTAAATTGAATTTGCATTACGTTTTTTTAATTCAAAAAAGTACCCGATTATGAAATAATCAGTAAAAATAAAAATCAAATAAAAAAATTAAATTGTATTAGTAAATATTAATTAGTTATTAATGTATGAAAATTCATTGCATTCCAACAACTCATAACACCTAAGTACTATTTATTTATAATTGCACAACGTTGTACAAATTGTTACATAGACCGCTTTGCGTGTCATTATTTTTGCGACCAAGAGTGTACATAGTTTTCCGTGTCATTAACTCTAAACTAATAACCAGCACGTCAATCATAAAAACATAACTTCTCATACGTAGACACTAATTGCATCTCATTAATTCGAGACGGAAAACGAACGTGTAGTGAAAACACCTAACCTTGCCTGTTTTGCCTCTTTTCGTGAAACTCGATCATATAACGAATATTATAATTACTACCTTCAATCGTAATTACGTGTAATTAATTAACTACGAAAGATACGATCATAATTATTTAATCGAATTTAAATACAGTTAAACCTCGATATAACAGATTAATATGTGAAAGAAAGTCTTCGTTATAGCTTTTAATAAACTTTTAATTTGCACTTTAAAATGTTATGTTTAATTTTTATGGACACAAATTAGAACAGCTATCCACACCGTTCTAAACTGCTATGTTTCTAGTTCTAGGTCTAATGGTAGTTCTAGTTTTGCATTAGCACTGTCACTAAATCTAACACTCGATCTAGAACTAGAATCATTCGGGTTTAGCCGTTTTTAGAGACGTGCGGCTTAACCCGAATGTTTCTAGTCTAGGTCTAATGTTAGTTCTGTTTTACATTAGGACTGTCACTAGAACTAACACTAAACCTAGAACTAGAATCATTCGGGTTTAGCCGTCTTTAGAGACGTGCGGCTTAACCCGAATGTTTCTAGTTCTAGCTCTAGTGTTAGTTCTAGTTTTGCATTAGCACTGTCATTAGAACTAACACTAGACCTAGAACTAGAATCATTCGAGTTAAGCCGTCTTTAGAGACATGCGGCTTAACTCGAATGTTTCTACTTATAGGTCTAGTATTAGCTCCAGTTTAGGATTAACACTGCCACTAGATGTAGAATTAGAATCATTCGGGTTTAGCCGTCTTAACAGACGTGCGGCTAAACCCGAATGTTTCTAGTTTTAGGTCTAATGTTAGTTCTGGTTTTGCATTAGCACTGTCACTAGGATTAACACTAGACCTAGAACTAGAATCATTCGGGTTTAGCCGTCTTTAGAGACGTACGGCTAAACCCCAATATTTCTAGTTTTAGGTCTCATGTTAGTTCTGGTTTTGCATTAGCACTATCACTAGAACTAACACTACACCTAGAACTAGAATCATTCTGGTTTAGCAGTCTATAGAGACGTGCAGCTAAACTCGAATGATTCTACTTCTAGTTCTATTGTTAGCTCTAGTTTTGGACTAACACTGTCACTAGAACTGACACTAGATCTAGAAGAGCAGTAACATTTATATTTAACTATATTGATACATAATATTAATAATAGTATGACATAAAAATATTTTGTACGTTATATCCGAAATTCTTTCTAACGAGGTTCGTTATATCGATTTTTTACTGTATTAACTTTGATTAAAATAAAATAAAACGGATTTTAATGAAAGCGAATGAATGATTTAACATTTTACCTCATTTTCATACTAGAATTGGCAACTCACTATAACTCACCTGTATCGTCTCTCTTGTCGTCATCGTCTTTTTCTTTGTCATCGCTATCGGAGACGCAAGCGTCATCGTCATCGTCCGTCTTGTTCTTCGGCTCCCACGTCATCTTGTTTTCCTTCTTCAGTCGCCGCCTTGCGTTCGCAAACCACGTGGAAACCTGCGTCAAAGTCATCTTCGTGATGATGGCCAACATTATTTTTTCGCCTTTGGTGGGATATGGGTTCTTCTTGTGCTCGTTTAACCAAGCTTTCAACGTTGCCGTTGATTCTCTTGTGGCGTTCTTTCGCCTGGCAGCTAAATCGTAACCAGCACCGTACCTAAAACAAAAAATTTAAACATTATTAAAAGGTAAATTTAAGTTACGGTCCTGTTTTCAGAAAAAGAAATATAGGAAACATTCAAGGCGTGCACAGACGACTCGATTTGACTTTCATGGGATCGTAGCCGTCTTCGTGACTGATCACGAGACAGCAGTCGACATTGATCGCGCGATCTGATGACAAGTACACGAACCAAAGTATCTAAAACTAAGGTACTTAACTATAATTTTAAACCAGCTCTTTATTATAAACACTGAAAAATGTTTTATGTTTAAAAGCTAAAGTGATTTAATTTTCTATTGAGTTCCGCCTCCATTCGGAGCCATTAACCCCATAAGCACCGCTTGACTGATTATATAAAAGTTCCAGTTAATACAGCCGGAAACGCTGACGTGAAATCCTGCGCTCACCGTGTATACAAGCGACGGCAGGCGTCGAGACGCCCGAGCGAATGGAAACGAAAGAGTGAGCGAGAGAAAACGAGGGAGAAAGATGGAATGGGCTTTTCTAGCTGTTGAATTTGTTCCGGAGGCAGCGAGCGAGGGCCGTCTTTTGTGCTGAGCCGTCAAGTTGAGGTACGGCCGCCCCAAACCACCCCCGAACCCGCTCCCTTTCACTCCCCCGAAGAACCCCTTAACGTCGTAGGGATTTGATTACGGCTAGAGTGGTTTCACCCCTATTAAACGGCGCGCTTTTTCTCCCCCCGGAGTAGACAAGGGAAAGGCGGCCACCGATCGTCAATAAAAGCGGAAAAATAAAATCGGCTACGCGTCCCCTCCCCTGGATCGTAACGTATCTGCTCTTTATTGATATACTCCGATTGGTTACGCCTTCTACTCGACCGTTACATCGGTGCAATTTACCCGGAAGTCAGCTCTTTTTGGACAAATTTATATCCACACGTTTGAATTTGTCAAAAACAACCACAAAGCACTAATAAAATTGAGAATTATACTGGAAATCCACTTTACCAGTATTTGTTAATGATTAGGAGAAATAATATATAAAGCTTTTTGTACTTTCAAAAGCTGGTCTTTAATTAAATAATAAACATGAGTAATAATGCGTAGTGCTTCATGGATGAAGAAGTACACTGTATTAATTAATTATCGTACCCGAGTATGCAACCAATATCGCGATGTGCGTATCGCAATACCAATACTGTGATACTGGTTGCATACTTGCAATGATGACGTCGGGTACGATAATTAATTAACACACTGTATGTGTTGTTGTGGTCGATCCGAGATTTCATCCGTTCTTCGTGCTGGTTCCCTTTGGAAAGGGGCGGACGTTCGCCAAGATCTCAACTTGCATCTTCAGTGCGTTGTCGTTCTAAGTTTTTAAAATGTTAACGTGGTCGTAAATGTTGTTGTGTTGTGAATAAATCACCTAACGGTGACTTTTCTCAATTTCTGGAACAACTCGAATTGACACTCGAGCTGTTGACCGGACCACCTCGGAGGGTGATTTTAATGTTCATTTTGGCTCAGGCGACAAAAGAGCCGAGTTACTTATTGACACTTTATTTCACTACTTTTGATTTTTTCATCAAATTTCATGAACTTATCATATGGCATTTCATAGCGCATTTCCGGAAAAAGCAATTGTGCAAAGTAATAAGAAATGCACAAGCTGGTTTTCTGCAGAGCTCAAGGGTATGAGGAATCGTCTGCATTTCTTAAGAGATATTCACAATGCCACAGGTTGTGAGAAACTAAAGCGAGAACTTAACTTTCTAACAAAAAATTATAGAGACAAGATAAATGATGCTAAAGTTAGATATAATTATAAGATTTTAAAACATAAAAAATATTCATGTAAGTATATGTGGAAAATAGTATCGAATTAGCAAGAAAAGTAATACTAAAGCAATGTTTGACTCAAATGAAGTAAATGATTACGTTATATATGTTCCCCTAGATCTTGTTAATAAAATTCGGCTGGGTTACTTTGACAATTAACTTTAATCAGCTACTATCGAATGTTACTGTACCACCTGGGAAATTCTGCCTGGAGTTGGTTGGCTTAATTGAGGTTCGTGATATAATCTGTTCTTTAAAAAATACTTCTTCTAGGGATGTATACGGATTAAATGCTGTAATATTAAGAAGGTAATTAAATTTAATATTCTTAGTATTGTACTTTTGAAACTGGTTTTATTATTTTTTTAATTAAGTCTTACTAGTTTCGGCCCATGGCCATCTTCAGAGACTAATGTCATAAGAGTTAACTAAGATGTCATATTGCAAAGTATTAAGTGTAATTGTAAATACTGTTGTTTGTCGTAACCTCAAAGTAATTTTATTTAAAATATTTACAATTACACTTAATACTTTGCAATATGACATCTTAGTTAACTCTTATGACATTAGTCTCTGAAGATGGCCATGGGCCGAAACTAGTAAGACTTAATTAAATAAATAATAAAACCAGTTTCAAGAGTACAATACTAAGAATATTAAATTTAATTACCTTCTCACGTATTAAACAACTGGTATAATGGATTTTAACTATAATTATCTAAACTGTAATATTAAAGCTGATAAAAGATGTAATATCATCGCCTATAACAAAATTAATCAACCAATGCTTGAGAGAAAATACTTTTCCAAATGCTTTAAAGTTAGCATTAGTAACTCCTATCTTTAAGAAAGGCGATCCTCTTGTAATAGAAAATTATTGGCCAATCTCACTTCTGCCTGTATTCTCAAAAATGTTTGAAAAAATCATAAAGAAAAGAATTATCGATTTCTTTGAAAATAATAACTTGTTCGCGTCATGTCAATACGGATTTCGTCAGAATCGAGACGCGATTATGGATTTTGTACAACAGGCAACTGTTATGAGAGAGGCGAGTATATGACAACTACGTTCTGCGACCTCAGCAAGGCCTTTGATTATATGAACCATAATTTATTAATAAAGAAGCTGAGTAGATATAACTTTGGTGACAGTAATATTAAGATAATTCAATCGTACCTTGGTGGCAGAAGATAAATAGTCTGTTGTAATGATAGTTAATCTACATCAGAGTGCATATCTATTGGAGTATCACAAGGGTCAGTGTTGGGGCCTCTGCTTTTCCTCATTTACATAAATGACTTGCCTGCTTCAATATCTAAGTCTTCAATCATATTTTATGTTGACGACATTATTTTAATCAGCAGACATAAAATCCTCATTGATGCTGTTGCAGTAAATCGGGCATCGCGCTCTGAGACTGAGGAGTAGTTTGCGTGCAACGGCTTAACTTTGAATTCCAACAAAACAGCTGAAGCTGTCTTTACACTGAGAGGCGATCTGCCAAATCTGATGGGTAAGCAATTCGTAGATTTTTTGGGTGTTTGCTTGGACCCCACATTGAAATGGGAGCAGCATGTAAGTATACTTTGTGGAAGACTGAGCTGCAACATTTTGTCTGGCAATGTGTCGGGCCCGGTTTTAAGAACTGCTTACTTTGCACTGTGTGAATCGCTATTATCATAGCCCAATTCTCTGTTGGACTGGGGGAACTCCTCGGGTTGATGTAGGGTTTTTCGGCTGCAGTAACATGCCATTCGTGTCATATGTGGTCTGAAGTATCGAGATGAGTGCCGTGAATTCTTTATAGATTAGGAAATACTAACATTTCCCTCGCTATTTATATTAGAGTGTCTGTTGTACTTGCACAACAATGTAGACAAATATACTGCCCACAGTGATATACACAGCTACAGAACCCGTAACAATCATAAACTAAAACCTAAATTTTGCAGACTCTCTAAGTCCCAGAAAGATGTAGATTTTACTGCGCCTTTAACGGTTACACTTTTACATGTGAGCAAGTTTGCAACATTGATAAAGCAATTTCTGCTGTTGAGAGGTTTGTATTCTTATTCGGCGTTCCTTGAATATGAATTTTTTGAAAGGGTTTTTGTGGCATTGGGCGTCGGTCGTGACAACATCAAATCATGGAATGATATCTACATGTGATTTTACAATGTATTATGTGCTTTGTTCTTTTTTTCTCTTTGAAAGTTTTTTTTCTATATGACAAGTGTAAAAAATGTATATTTTGGATGCGCAAATAAATAATATTATTATTAAATTATACTTTAGTCATTTATATTTTATCTAGAATTTTAATAATGTAAACTTGTTATGTGATACTTTAATCTACTATTGCATCCTAAGAACTAATCCCTGAAGATGGCTATTAGCCGAAACTAGTAAAACTCAATTTTATTATTTAATTAAAGACCAGTTTTGTAACTACAAAAAAGCTTTATATATTATTTTTCCTAACAATTAACAAATAAAATAGGTTATATTCAAATACATCGAAATTTTCTTATTAAAATTACTCCATTAAATTACAATAAAGTGTGGTTTCGTGACCGTTTTGTTGTAAAGTAGTGAGGGCGCCACCGGTTCACAGAACCGTTGCATGAGAATCAACGATACCTAGCGCGCACACAATAACAATAATAATGGTAACCAAGCGCCCTCTGGTCCGCGAATGGTGCTATAAAAAGGCGTCCGGGAGATCTATTCCAGGAGATACGGGCCTGATATATCAGGCGACAGAGTCGTACACTTCCGCTTGGTAATGCTGCGGGACAGTTCGCGGTCTCGCCGCTGCCAACAGCGACACCGTTGTCGCCACAACCGTAACGAAAAACGAAACCAGAGTCGACTCGTTAAATATTCACAAATTTATTTTTCCAGTAACAACTAAAAATGAAACGTTTTAATCATAACAATAATCAAAATAATAAAATCTAGCCGAAAAAAAGACTTTTTTTTGTGAATTTATTGAGGTTTAAAATGTATGAACGTCAATGGAGCTATTCAGGACCGTAATCGGTGAAATTAATTGCGCATCGACGGGTTTCCCTTCGTGTTTCGCGTGCGAGTTCACATCGATTTGTCGCGCCGAACGGGGCTCACGACGAGTTTGGTCGTAACGTTAGTTGTCCGGACTCTATTATAAATTTCAAAGAACGGAATTATTCGCCTCGACCGACCATGTGTCACTGCTATCTACTAGAACATCCATCTAAACATACGCCATAAAATTTAACATCAAAATAACCACCTTAGGAGATAAATAGACGGATTTTATGGGATGTTTACAATCCGGATTATAACCGGAAGTATGTCAAGAATAACGGGTACTTGTAGAATAAAATGCGACTGTGCAAGATCGACGCCGGCAGCCGACAGAATGGCTTCAAGACAAAATGGCTGAATAGCGGGGTCGCTATTGATTGGCGAGTTCTGTGCGGCGTCGCGGCGCTACCAGGTGACGACCGACGCCGTTCGTACTTGCGGCGTCGCGTCGCTATCCGTGTATAATACGACCGCCACGCCATCGCACTGCACCATTTCTATTTATAGTCGATAAAATCTCTCTTTCTCGAAACGCTTTCCCTACCAGATTTTCGTATCCGTTTACAAACGGTAGAACATATCGCTATAATACCAGCAATTCTCAAAACAAATCGATTTAATGCAAATAAGTTGTAACAGAAATTGAATCAATCTAGTTTTGGAATATTCGAAACTGGCATAGCATCAACCTGAAGATTGTTGTTGTGGTAGAAGCTAAACAACGTCGTTGAAGATCATCGGCCGATGAAAACTCAACATTGGCTGATTTGGATGTCGCCCAGAAAGAATGTAAAAAGAATTCTTAATGTAGAATATCTATTATGAAGAGAGGCAAGAACAACTTGAAGGTTTATCAAATGGACAAGGTAGAAATACTACTTCAAGTCTAATATAGTACTAATATATAACTCAAATCTAAAAAGAAATCGTCTGTCTGACAAAATTTTCTCAAAGAAAAACTCAAATTCAAAGTCAATTGAATAGAAATGCAGAAGCCAAAAAAAAAGGCCACCTTTGTGGAAGTAGCTTTTTGCAAGAACTCTTCTTGAACATGCTAACCAAGCTCGTGATTAAACTGAATTCAATTTAGGAATACCCACGACCTTCCATTGCAACCACGTTCAAACATTTGTCGAGAAATTCAGAAACTCCCAAGAGAAGACAAGAAGCTGAAATAAATCCACGCTGATTATCACAACGATCACGATTAAGCCGAGGACTTTTTAGCTAATTCAGAAGAACGGATGGAAGAATAAAATTCCCGCGACAGCGAATAAAATAGATACACTGCTTCCTCAAGGAATTTAGCTTGATGATAAGTATTTTAGCATATCATAAATCGCAGTTTGAGGTTTTGTGAAATCCAACAGAAATAGAAGACAACCAAATTGTACGGATAACCACTATTACAGGATAAAATTCTGATTATCAAGTCAGGAACAATGACTAAAACATAGTATGCACTGATAAACAAGTTAAAGACAGAATTTCGCCAAACAACATACAGCACAGTTTTACTTATAAGTTAGTAACTCGAAAGAAAGGCAACGATGAGACAGAAATTGCAGCATGGGGCTATACAATAGGAAAGGACGTTTTAATCGACTATATTAAAAACACTGTTTTGTATTCTGCAAAAACATGAATGAGTTTTACAAAAAAATATGATATTTAAGCAATCCTAACGAAATCAATGTTAAAAAAAAGAATGCCAAAAAAGCCGGCTAAAAGCAAAGTCAGACTGAATGCGAAAAAAGGATCTTGAATACAATTTTGCTCACCAAGAGGTTTGCAAGAAGATATTCAAAACGTGAAAACAATGTTTTAATAAATGCATGTAAACTCAAAGAAACTTTTGTAGTGTTTTACACAACCGTTTAAACTTAGTCTTTGGTGTACTAATTGGAAAATAATAAATCCAAGGTTTTTATATCCAACCTTTGGTTTAATATAGAACGCAAAAGCATAAGCGTAGTTAGACTAGACAATCTAAGCCATCATGAGAACAGAGTTTTAGAACGAACCTAATAGCTACCTAATTCTAAGAACAAACACATCGAATTCGGGTCTTTCGAAGAAACGTTGGAAAAAGATTTTCAAAACTTAACTTCAAGATTATTATGAAGATATTTGTTGCTTTTAAAATTCTGGATTTTTTTAATTACATCGTTTATCAGTACATTAACATACTGTCAATAAACACAATCTGGTTTCCGGAAATATCATTGTTGTGTAACATCGTCATTCATACTATAGATGGTGTAACAACTAGCTGTGGATATACAATGCATTCAATACACCTGTCATTCACTTGGCATTTGATACAGCAAATCACTTCCTTTTATGTACGTTTCTTTTTGCATAAATGCCAACTTAAATGTATGCAAAATTGCCAATAATACTCATAAATTGTGTGTTTTATGCTCCAAAGTTCGACTTTAGTCCCTTTAGTCCTCTTTATTTACACTTACACTTTTAACGTGAGACGTAAACTGTATGATACTGTATAACAAAAAATTTAATCCTTATTTTGTACAGAAGAGAGTACTAAAAGGAGCGAAAGCAGAATTCAGTTTGGTGAGATATATGATTTTCTTATGGAAAGCAGGCAAAAATATCAATACTGCAGTCAGAAAGCAAAAACGACAAGAATACATTAATCGACCAGAAATACGAAATTATGAAGACCAAAATTGGAAGTGATGGACAAACGTCTACCAAAGTGGAGGAAAAAGACAACAATCTGATTGATCATATCTAATTGAAACATAGGTTTGAATTAATTCATGCCAACATGACAGAATGAGCTTTCTAAAATGTGATTATCAATATTTAGGTGTTATCTACAAACACTCACACATAATTTATCTCAAATTTACTATACATGCTATATAAATAAAATGTATTCAATTTTGACTGAATTTTGCAAGTATTTCAGGTAATCTGAATAATTCTAAATGAAATTCTTAAGGCAATCAATAGCTTGAAAATGTTAGAAACAATGACTGTTGAGAATCTTGCTCAATGACAATTTTGAATCGTTTAGTTGAGACTTTCAATTTAAAGCTTTCTTGATTCTTTGCGATCTATTACACTGGGAAAAAGTTAGACAATAATGAGGTTCGCAGGAAATGAAATCTAGGCAATGATTCAAAGAAGTAATTTAAATTAGTAGTTTTGATTTTTATGAGTTTGTTTATTTTGATCAGGTCTTGTGTTCATTTTCTTAATTACCATCAGTTTTTAGATTTTGTTATTTGATAATTTTGTTCTGGGATTTAATTATATCGTAAGGTTAGATGGAAGAGAGAAGTTTAACGCTATATATAGGGTTGGAAAATCTGCAGCTGCACACTCCAAAGCTTCTTGTTTTTTCTTTCTGTTAAAGTTATAGTTTCTTTGATATTTATTGGACTCGGCATTTATGCAATAAAATGATATCCGCTTACCGCTTATTTATATCGACTTAGAAACATATTTAGCTTTCGATTTGCTATCTAAACCTTCTTTTATTATATATTACATAATAAATTATACATTAATTACAAGTTTTGCGTTAAGCTCAGTTCTTCAGATTTCATTCGATTTAATAAACGTTTAGCATTAATCTTAATGGCTATATTACTATCCATTCTTATTTATATCCCTAGTTGATTCGCATAAATATATAAGCATTATTAGTTAGAGACAAAAAATAGAAAGGATCAAGTTGTGAATAATGAAGTAATTATTGAAAATATAGGTCCAAAAATAACTCAAAAAGAATAAAACGACTCCAGTCAAATTTTTAAGATTAAATTATGCAAAAGACGATGTTATCTGTTGTTTAGGATCTCAAAAATGGTAAATAGCTATGAAAACGGAATTATGATGAAAATTGGAACTTGAACCATAATTAATAGATTTAGAAAAAAAACTTTTGATCTCACCCGCCCAAATTAAATCCGCAGAAATGGAGACCATGTAACTAGAAGTGTTAAAATTGTGATTTCATCTTTACAACGATAATTTACACCATTCATAATTTGTTAGTATTGTAAGTTTCCGTAGATCAAGTAAATTGAAATGTATTGATTTTGTATCGGCTTTCGTTTGAAGTTATCAAAGAGTCGGCATCTCTTTGAGTTTCTTTAAAGTAAACTTGGTTTTGTACAAAATTAAATCGAGATAACAAAAGTTAACATCCTGATAATTGTTTTTCATCAATAATCGTCTGATCGGATCTTTTTTCGACAAAGACGTGTCAATTTATTCCAAGTACCGAAGGTACCAAAACATTACGAAAACATCTTGACGTAATAATAAATGAGTGTTGTCGTTTCAAATTGGTTCCGGTCATCAACGAAGCGATACAAGTTAAAGTTCTCAATACGCACAAAGAACTTCATTCTTGTGTAGATCTTCGTTGTGCCCATTCTTCGCAAACGAGCGTTAAAACACGTTTACAAGTCATGAAAGGGCGCCACTTATTGTCAATTACCGGTAACGAAAACCTTCTCGGAAGCGTTTATTGACCCAACCAGCATACTTCTTGATACTTTAAACCCCACGGTTGGGGGTTTTGGTGAATAAACGAGGACTTACCCGTAGGCTAAAGCAGGATCATAAGGATAATAACCCGTGGTCGGTTGAAGTCCTGCGCTTGTCCATGGTGACATGTCAGCTGCGGCACCAGTTGCATCTTTTAGATATGGATTACTCTAAAACAATAAGAAAATAACTAATACAGATATTTGTCAAAATGATTCTCTACAAACAATGTCATATTTAAGTCAACCGAAATACAAAAGCAAACAACTTAGAAAGTTTTCAATCCGAGTACACATAAACTTTGTAGCTGTCCCTAATCTCAGAGTCACTTCTCGGGAGAAAAGTGATTCTCTCGTACCACACTGAAATCGATACTTTCTCGAGAGGGCGAGCTTTAAAAAGCCCGAAGCTTTTTTTCTCGTCCGTGATAAATTTTATATCACCATCGACCGTTTTAATTGCTATTTTTACGCCGTCGTTCTAATGTTAAGAACTGTAAACACGTCTCTCCTTCGTGGCGGTGGCGACGACGACGACGAAAGCGGAACAAAAAAATGGTCCTGATAAAAAAGCTCGGTTGTTAACAGGGGAATACATAAAAGCCACCCGTTGTTTCATTGCTGCAGTAGGGTTTTCGGTGAAGGCTCCGTAATGGCGCCATCAAGCGAATTAAGTGCTATAATGTGAGGTCTACGTTTTAATTATGCCAATTTAATCCTCAAAATCAACTAATATAACGGTAATATTTTGATGGAAAGGTTTCAATAACAAAAAGGTGAGAATGCGACCCTATTCGCTTTCGCATATACAAACATTAACGGTGTTATATGGAAATCACATCACACATAAATGCAAAACAAATTAATTTATCGTCCATTACGAATCTATCGATAGAAAAAGTGATGTTAGCCAACACCACAAACAACAACCATTTGCGACATGTAATGTGTTTGTCATTACATATTAATTCGTGGAGTGCTCGAACGTAATGCATTAGGCATATGGTGACAAAATTACTGATAATTGTATACCTATCTGAACGGGTCAATGTGTCGGCAAATATTTGATCTCTCCTACAAGAGTGGGGGGGACTGAAAGATCAAAGGATTTTGCCGCACTTATTATTAAAGTATTATCGTACAACAATATTGTCCTTCTGACGTATATTACAAATCGTTCAAATGTTTACTATACGAAATTACATCAGTTTGAATAAACACTTCGATTTCAAACAACTTATTTTGTTATAAATATTCAGCAAATAAGTTAAAGTATAACTAAAAAAGTAATCGCTAACATAAATATCCGATAAACACAAGGGACGACCCAATAAAGTCCCCAAGGGCCAGAAAATATTGGCGAACATATTTTCTCGGAAAAATCTCCTCTAAGCTTATTTATGTCACCCGTTCGATATACACACGGGGTGGGGATTTTCTGGACGTTCACGATCAATCTCGTATAAAGGCCTCCAATCAATGCAAACGTGGAGGCAATGGGGAACGCGTAGCAATTTCGATGATATATGTAATTCCGCTTTGGTGGGGGACGGCCGTGTTTCGATGGGGGGAATGAATCGAGCGCAGGAAAAGAATTCTATATTTATTCAGGAAGCGTAAATCTCCAAGCAGCAGACGAGGGGAGGCGCAGAACCGCGTTATGGACTGCTCAGAGTGGAAAAAGAAGAAGTGCCCGATGGCCGAAGGGGAAAAGCTCCCCCGAAAGACGAATAGGGGAAAAACCGTAAAAAAAGCTCTCATTCCCAACCGCACCTCCAGTAAATTATGGGTATTATCCGACACTAAACACCAGTCAATTGACAGCGCGAATACGATGAATTGGGGGCTGTTTCAGTTTATGTGAGGAATCATTTCCTGGCAATTAAGTAACAATTTATCTTAGAAAGCTAAGTAGGGAATAAGTATCTAAAGAAATAAAAAGATTAATTTAAAATGATGGAAACAACATTCCAATAGATGTGATACTAACTAATAACCGCAAATTAATTACAGTTTTCCTGCACATTACTAAATCGAAATGTAGGTGTATATATAACTGGTTTTCATCGTATCTACTTGTTTTAAATTTTCGATTAGAATATAGAAAGCAGAATCTTCACGATGGTCGAAAGCCGGCCATTTTGAAAAATATTACAAGCGTACGAACGTCGAACAGAACACACGTTATCAACGTGTAAAGACGCGTTATCAAAATCGTCGTTGGGTACACAATTTGTCAACGATAATCTGCGGCGTTACGTCGCCATTAGAAGCCGACAAAAGGCCGCGTACCGATCGCTCATCCGACAACAGCTGAGATAACGCTGTTCTGTTATCGTTGTTCCCTGTGTGAACGCGCCGCAGAACCAGAACCAATGTGCGCCTAGAGAGACGAGAAACGGTGCCGAGAAAAGGTGCGCGCGTGTTCTGGCCTGTAAACAAATCGGGAAAAATCACAGACGGGCAAACTAATCGATATGAACCCAACGCGCTCTAATCTAATCGAAACATGTCCGTGTACAAACTTCGACAGTACTTTTACATACAAAATCAATTCTTTTAGGCAAACAATCAAATATTGTACTTTCGGGGTTCTTCTATTAAAAATCCGTGGCACTTTTAGGAGGTTATCGCGCTTTTTGAGTACCACCAACAACAACGTCCAAAATTTCAATCAATTTAAAAACCAATATTCTTATAACACACAATGTACTTTTAAATGATATCAAATTTTTTGTTGAAACAAGGAAAAAACATTAGCAAATGTATACCATATTTTCAACAAATAACATAGAAACAATCTGAAGTTGTATACATTAATGTGGACACGCCAGCAATCAATGAAAAACTAAATTTAAAAAGGATAGCTAAATTCATGGTAATAGTATGACTAATTTTATCAATGAGTTAATTATGTTTTTGTGTTATCGTGTTTGTATATATGTCGTAGGAAAATGGTTGTTTCAGGTAAATAGCTTTTGCCTAGTCAGATACTATCTGTTTAGGCAAATAGTTTTATTCCATTTATTTCAGTTTAAATTCTACTTTCCTAGGCAAATAGCATATGGCTAAAATATTTTCAAGCAAATAACTCATTAAGCTTGTTTCAAACTGTTTCACAAATTAGATGATGTGCAATTCCAGCAACAATTGTCAAAACAAGTAAATTTTTGTATTTAGTATTTAAGTATTCAAGAAATAAATCGTTTATTTGTATTTTTATTAAATTTAATATAAAAGTATATGAAACTGTTATGCATTTTTTTGAAAATAGAAAAGTAGAAAAAAAATAGAAAAACTAAAATAGAAAATAGAACTACTTTATTTTATTGTGAATAGGTACCTCTCTATATTGCATTGTTGTATCGAAAAAATGGTATTTGCCTAAAACAAGTTTAGACAGATACTATTTGTCTTGTCCAATAGTATTTGCCTAGACATTTAATCATAAAACTGTAACGAACTACTGTTTGCCTAGGCAGACAGTATCTGACTAGCAAAAAGCTCTATCTACCTGAAATAACCATTTGCCTGCGACATATACGTTTGTTACAATAATAAGGTAATGTTAATGCATAGTGTTTCACGGATGGAGAAGTATGTGTTGCTGTGGTCGGTCCGAAATTTCATCCGTTCTTCCTGTTGGATCCCTTTGGAAAGGGGCAGACGTTTCGCTAAGATACCATCTGGCATCTTCAGTGTGTGTGCTGGATATCAGTTCAGTACTGGATATGTGACACATATCCACGAATACTTCTTCACTTATCCATGTTAAGGTTTTTTTAATACTTGATTGTTAGATTAGTTTTTTTAAATGCAGTAGGTTTTACTTTAGCACCATCAATCATTACGTTCCTCTTTTTAAATACATATCTATATGGTGATAATGAAAATATTCCTCAAGATTACGTTAGAAATAAGCCATTTAGTTTTAGTTTCCGATTATATCTACTTATTACAAGTCATAATGTAACAATCTCTAGTGGGTTTGTTTGAGATTATGTTCAGAGTTATGATTAATACAATTTTGTTATGAACTAGTTAACATTCCAGACCTCCACACCATCAACGTAAGCTGTTTCTCTTCCGAAGAACTTGTTAGTATATATTGCTGGGCATGTGTTTTTTTCTTTTAGTAAAGTGATTATAATTATTGTATGATAATAATTATTTCATTAGCTTTGATGTTTTTCATAATCAACCTTTTTACTTATTTTACAACATGATAGAAGTTTCTCGTACTAATACTGAATAAAATTTCAAAAACAACGTTGAAAGCCAATTGTAAAGATGAAAGATGGTGACAAACAACAAAGCACAATTTATCATTTTAAATCGAGGTTAACACGAATAACAAACATCTTAAATGACAGTGTTGGAATATTAGCAACGCTATGACATGAAGAGTAAAGTTATTTTAAATGAAAGCAATTTCAATCACGAAAATATCTTCTGCGATGTGCTAATTCTGCAAAGTACACGATTCACAATCTTAAAGTTCAATTCTAAAATTTTAATATATGCGTAAGATGTATTTTTAATAGACGTAAACATGCAAAGTCTTTTTAAATTAATTTTCTTTTATACGGTTATAAAAGAGGCAACCTTGGATGTTTCGTTCAATAAACACTTTTTGAGATGCCTTTGCTATATTAGCTTTGCACCAAGACCTTCAGGTTCTCGCATACGTTTCTAAGAAGGCAAAAATCTTGTGAACAAGTGATATGTTTAACTCGCTGCGCCAACTGCAACAAGCACAATATTTCCACATCTTTTTGAAAAGGTTAAGAGAATTGGAAAAAACGGAAATACAAACGTTCAGATGCAAGATGAAATTCTTATATGAATTTTATATGTTGGTATAAAATAGGAGTTGAAGTTAATCACCTTCAAAAGAAGACTTTCAAGGCATTGTTGTATATGATGATTTTATATGATGACTGATATGATTTATCAGTAAAGAGGATTACATTTTTTGGTCCAGGTTAGTAACAATTGCACCACAACGTTAGATTAAATTATTCGAAATGGCGACAAGATGTTCTTTAATTCATTATTGATCTCGTTTTATTTTTTAGTAATTACCTATACTTGTATTTTACTCAAGGTGCACAAGTTTATATGGAACACAATAATATTAAATGAAACCTTACAACAATGGTCGTACGGAA